TTTACCGACAACCCAATAACATCAGGCTGTTATGTTCCCACCATAAACTGGTGGGAATGGAATGGTGTCTAAGGAGACCTGGAAGGTCCACTGGACTTACCCCTGCAGCGGGCGCTGGTGGTCCTGATCCCTGTGCTACCAGGGGCCATGGGTGGCCCGGTGGCAAGGGACTTCTCTGCTCTGCAGGACAGATGGTGGCCTCAGGACACGGACCCTCCCTGGCATTCCCACATGCAGAAATGGAGGACTTGCCCTAAGGGCCCCTCTGCCCCAGGCTTACTGTGCTCCCACCGGGTGCCCCCTTCTGCCCAGGACCCCCTCCCCCATTCCCTGCACAGGCCTCCGCATGCGGATGCTGCCCACGTCGGTGTGGAGGTTGAGGAGGGCACGGATGCAGAGGGGCTGTGCCATGATATGGCTGAGCGGTGGCCGCTGTGCCGGCTCCAAGCTGAGCAGACTCAGGACCAGCTGGCGCAGCTCAGGGCTGTACCGGTCAGAGATGGGCGCAAAGGTGCCACTCATAATCTTCAGCACCAGTGCTGGCAGGTTCTATGAAGGCATCAAGTTGGGTTGGCCAGAGCCTCAGGCTTGGCTCTTTGGTGGCAGCACCTCCAGCTTCAGCCCCCGCCCCTTGTCTGATGGGTGGTCACAGCCCTGCGTTCAGGACCCTTTAGTCTGGTGAGGGGACTCCCAGGATGATAGGGGACCCAAACCCTGCTATCAGGAACCTCTGATAGGGGAGCTGCAGCTATGTCTTCAGAAACCTCAGGCTGTTGGGAAAACTTAAGTCTTGCCCTTTGGAGGGTCCCTAATCAGGGAGAGCCCTGCCCTCAGGAGTCCTTAGTTTTAAGGAGGGACCCAATCCCTACCCTCAGGAACCCATCATCTGAGGAAAGCCACAGCCCTGCTCTGGGGTAATCCACCAGTCTGATGAGGGTGACATGATTCAGCCACAAGAGAAGACACACAAAAGCAGTTGGAGCTGAGGACTTTAGGGGAAGGGAGACAGAGATCTCCCAGTTGTCTCCTTAGGGGTGCTTACTCACCGCAGCCTCGAAGGCCCTCTTGAGGCTGGCCAGCTCATAAAGGACGCAGCCCAGAGCCCAGATGTCACTCTTCTGGTTGTAGGGCTTGCCCTCACACAGTTCAGGGGAGATGTAGCATGGAGTACCCACCACCTGCAAGAGTGAAGTTAATATTACAGCCCAGGAAGGGAAGACCAAGGCCCATTTGGGGACAACTTCTCCCCAAAGCAGGACAATGTGCTTCCTCTTGTAGGACTACCCAGCCAGGCGCTAAGGGTCCAAGGTCTTCGGGGTGGGGTGAGAGAAAGGGTTGCAGAGTGCACCTTGGCCCTCAAAACCTCCAGTACCCTTGAAGTCCCCTCCATGCCCAGGCACCGTGTAGGCCTTGCTCTTGCTGCTAAGGATCTTGGAGATGCCAAAGTCGCCAATCTTAACGACCATGCGGTGTTTATCAAGAAGGATGTTTTGGGTCTTGAGGTCCCGGTGCAGGATGAGGTGGGTGTGCACATGATGCAGTGCGAGCAGGATCTGAACAAAGAAGTGCAGGATGGTCTCCTCCTCCAGCAGGGAATTACAGCGCTTTTGGATGAACTCAGCCAGGGTGCCACCTGCAGCCGCAAGGGACTAGTCAAGATCTAGGCTTTTCCAGGCCTGAGGCTTTCCTTTTATAAAACTAAAGACCCAGATAGGGCAAGAGCCTGCCAAGCATCACACTACTGGGATTAGAACTCTACACTGCTGACCCTCAGCCAAGCCCATTCAAAGGCAAGGCGGGAAGCTGGCTGATCTGTGTCTGCCTCCTTCCAGAGGTGAGAGGCCCTCGGAGCCAGGCCAGTGCAAGGAGTCTGGCCCACCTGGTGCATATTCCATAGCGATCATGAGGGCCTTGTCCTCCAGGAAGTTCTCGTAGTACTCAATGACATTGGGGTGGTTGAGCAGCTTGAGGACCTGGCATTCATTTTGGGCTGCCTGCCGCTCTTCCTTGGTCATCTGTTCCACTGGGATCTGCTTGATGATCACCAGCTTCTGGTCTGCCTTGCGCAAACACAGGTGTACAATCCTGAGAACACAGAGTATAACAGTGGGTACCAGCTGCGCTTCCAGCCACATATCACACTGGGCAGACCTGATGACTGGATGGTAACTACGCTTAAGAGAGGGTAATGGCACCCAAACTAAGAGACCATCTAACTAAGTGCACGGAACCCTGAGTTTAGGAATGGGGAGGACTAACCACAAACTCTGTAAGACCTTGAACAAGTCATTTAACTTATTTTTATTTTTATATTGGGGAATTGGGAGAGGGAACAGCATTGGGGAATCGGGGAAGAGGAGCAGACAAGTTGCTGTCCTTTTGTTCTTCTGTCTAGTTGTGGAGGACTTCGCTTCACTGGCCCATGTTGGTATTGTGATCATTGCGCTCTTCCCAGCTGAGGCAGATTGGTCACCGGCCACTGGACAGCTGCTAATGCTGGCTGCTGCCGGCTCACGCTGGCTGCTGGCCACTCATGGTAGCTCATGGCAGCCCACTGCAGCCTATGCTGCCGCTGGTGACTCACAGCAGCCCAGCTCCAGGTCGAGCTGTTGTTCACCATCTTAGCTGTAGAGGGCGCAGCGTCACTGGCCCATGTGGGATTCTAACTGGTGACCCTGCTGCTCAGCACTTGCGCTCCCAAGCCAACTCTTAACCAATGAGCCACTCAGCCGGCCCTCATTTAACTTATTTGAGACTCAGTTTCACGACAGGCACAATGAGGCAAAGTTAGTATTCATCTTTCTAAGTTTCCACAGAATCTGAAGTTAACTGCCTGGGTTCAAATCCTGGCTCCTCCTCTTACTAGTTATCTGGTCTTGGCTTATGTGACATCATCATCTGAAAAACAGGATTGACCTCACAGGTTGTTGACAGGATCAAATAATGAAAATGCATGTCAGGCACTTAGCACAGTGCCTGGCACATCAAAAATGCTCAATGAGTGGAAGCCATTCATATTATTATTTTCTTCCAAGTCTGTGGTCAGTGTCTATAAAAGCAGGGTTTTTGTTCTCCACTACATCCCCAGTGCATAGCCTAGTACATTCCCCGGCATATGGCAGGAGCTCAGTAAGTATCTGCTGACTGAACAGACTACAAGGTGATCATCTAAGTATCTCCAGTTGTATCTCCAGTTCAGGCCTCTCCTCTGAGCCCAGCTCACATATCCAACTACCTGCTTTGCATCTCCATCTGAATGGCTCACAAGCATCCTGAATTTTAACTAATTAAAAATAAAACTCTTGATTTCTGCCCTCCAAAATCTTTCCTTTCTCACTCTATTCCATCTCAGCAAATAGTTATTAAAGTCAGACACATGAAAATCATGGCAGACTCTTTCCTCCATTTCACACTAACATATAAGTAAATCCTGTTTCTTTTTTTCTTTTTCTTTTTAACTTTATTGGGGAACAGTGTGTCTTTCCCTGAGTCCATCAGCTCCAAGTCAAGTAGTTGTCCTTCAATCTTAGTTGTGGGGGGCACAGTTCAGCTCCAAGTCCAGTCACAGCTTTCAATCTAGTTGCGGGGGCGGGGGGAAGGAGCAGCCCACCATCCCATGCGGGAGTGGAACCGGCACCCTTGTTGTGAGGAGCACACACTCTCACCAGCTGAGCCATCTGCCTGCTGGTTGGCAGCTCAGCGGCAAGCTCAGCTCACTGGCCCACATGGGAGTCGAACCTGCAACCCTGTTTCTCAGAGCTTGAACTCTAACCAAATGAGCCACCCGGCCGGCCCAGTAAATCCTGTTTCTATCTCCAAAACAGTATGAACCCATCCATTTTCCTCTGTGTCTTCTGTGATAACCGTTGGCTCAATCATCAATTCTAGCTTAAAATACTGCACTACCTTTCAAAATGGTAATTTTCACTCTTGTCACCCTCAAATCTATATTCCACACAGCGGCAAGAGTTATATTTTAAAAATGAAAATCATATCAAGAGCACATCCTCTGCTTAAACATTTTACACTCATACATTTTCCCTTTACACTGCAAATAAATTCAACACCTTTACCTGAGCCTACAATGGCAGAATCTGGTCCCTCCCTCACAGTTTATAACATTCTTTACCTTGCCCACTGCATTCCAAATACACTAGTCTTTTTCTCAGTTCCTTGACTACTCTGAATTTTCTCCCACGTGAGCATCTTCACATATGCTGTTTCCTCATCTGAAAAGCTCTGCCTTCACCTCAGACTGGTCCTCATTCCGCAAGCCTTGGCTTTGTACTTCACCTCTCGGGGAAATTTCCCTTGACCACCCCAAATAATTACTTCCCTGGTGGTGTACCCTATTCTCACAGCTTCTTAACTGCTTTAACAATGTCTTGTTTATTGTATATTCTGCCTATAGTCTGTAAGCTCCGAGAGGGAAAAAGATCACGCCTATTTTGATCTTAACTGTATACCCAGCGCCGAGAGCCTGACAATGTCTAGCTGGCACTCAATCAATATTTGTCGAAGTCAGTAAGGAATCAAACAGAGCTCGGGCGCAAAGGTTTGCCGGAGGCGTGACCTTTTTAGAGGCGGAGTCTCCCAGCCAGGACTGGGACCGGAAGCCTGGGCGGGGCTTCCCAGAGAGTGGGCATTCATGCCTTGGCGCTGGAGCTAACTGCGGCAGCAATTTCCCGGACAGAGTTGGGGTTTATTTTCCCTCTCCCCGAGCAATTTCCTCCCCCAGAGCCCTGGCTCACCCGAAGGCACCTCTCCCCACCACTCGGATCCTCTCGTACTTCTCCATCTCATTTCCCAGTCACATTTCCGGAACCCCCACACCCCGACGCGCGCGCGTGCGCGGACCCGCCCACTCCAGAGCCACTCCCCCACACTGCAAAATAATTGCGGGGCGGAGCAAGTGAAGCTAGGTGTGGATTCAGCCTCGCATCTCTGCCTGCTGATTGGCACGGTTCCTGCAAACCTGATCAACAGGGTCGCTTTTCCAGGGTCCAAGGAAGAAACGGGACGACGTGCCATTTCTCTGCGCGCTTCTCAATGGCTTGCAGGGAACCACCCAGTTCCCACACCTGTGGCTGCATCCGGCCCTCGCAAAACTTCCTTAGACTGGAGGGGTGCCCTGCGCAGGCCGAGAGAGGGTGAGAAGCAAGGACGTCCTTTCTCTGGCCCCCCTTTTGCCCACTAATGATGCTGTTTGAGAAAGGGAGAGCAGATTCTCATCGGGACGAATTCTGGACCTGGAGCTTCAGCACCCTCGGTCTGTGGGGCAGGGAGCAGGGTTAGTTTTGTATTTGCCTAGGGAGGGACAAGGGAAACCCCGACCTGCGCAAGTTGATTCACCTAGGGAGGATATGATACATTTTCCAGGCTGTCCCGACTAGTGAACACTGCGCTCGTCAGCACACTCAACCCCCAGCTGAACACACACAACCCCACCGCAGGGTAATCTGCCTTCAATGCTCAACTAGGGAGAACCCCTTTAGGGGAAGATGGGAGGAGAGAAGACCACTATGTGAAAGAGAGGGAGGGGAGGAAAGACACCCGTTTGGCCTAAAAGGGTTCAGGCTTCTGCCCAGAGGTAGGGGCCTAGTTAGTACGATGGTTTAGGGTGTTGACCGGAAGTGAGTTTAATTCCAGGTGTCTCCCTGGTACCTTCTGCTCTGCACAAGTCCACAAAAGCTCAGTTAAGGAGCAAGAGGATGGTGATTAGCTAAGGGATAGCGTCCCTGTTTCGAGTAGGTGAGGAATGTGAGGAATGAGGTGTTTATCTTTGCTCCCGCTCCACCCTTCGAAAGAGTGCCCAAACCTGCCCATGTGGGATGACCACTAGAAAGGCCCCATGAGGGCCCCTCGCAGGCTTAGGCCGGTGTTGGCTAGTGCACAAAGCTGCCCTTTGAGCAAAGGGAAGTGCATAGGGGGAAAGCCGCTCATCCGGGACACTCATGCACTCACCTAGAAACCGGTTGGGCCTTGGTTGACCCAGGAGCCTCACAGGGGTTAATGTATAACCTCGGAGCCACCAGGGAAGGCCTAGCAAACAAACACCCAAACCTCTTAGTCCCTGGGTCTCTGGCGCCTCAGGCTTCTTCCTCCCTCTCAAAGCACCTTTTTCGCACTCCCCGCGCCCCACTCCTTCTCCCCCCACCTCCCAACTCGGCTCTTGGCGGCTCCCCTGTTTGCCGGCGTATGGCTGGCTAACTCTCGCTCAAAAGCAACCACCTCATTGCTTTAGAGGTGGGAGGGGATCCCACGCCACAGTGAGGACAGGCTGACACCTAGTGGCCAGAAGCTGCAACTGCTCCAGGTCACTGGCCTGAAGAGTGTCACCCTAGCAGCCTGGACAAACCGGCTGTCTTCCCCGCTCCAGCCTCCAGGGAGCTGGGAGAAGAGAGCTGGGGACTGCCTGAGGGAGGACTGTGACAGCACTTCGGCCCCAGGAGCCCAAGAGCGGGCTGGGAGGAGGGATGGTGATGGGTTAGGGGAACCGACTCAGTGCGGGCGCGGTAGAGGCAGGTAAACACGTCCATCTCTAGCCTGAATAAGCTAGTGAATCCAACGGTAGAACAGGATCTGGACAGAAATCGTTGTCGGAGGCGGGGATCCGGTCTGTCCCCAGAACCCGGGTTTAAAAGACGTGGGTGTGTGACGGGTCCTGCCCAGCTATGCCCAGAAAGGAGTTGAAGGCGGAGAGAGTTCTCGCAGTACCCGCCCAGGCGGGGGAGCCGGTGGCTCCGGGGAAAGTGGGGACGCGGGTTAATGAGGCCAAGCGAACGCGAGTCGGCAGTCGGGAGGCGCCAGCAAGGGGTGCCTCCATGGCGGCGCCCCAGGACTGCCCCTTTTCGCCCGAAGTCTGCGGGAGCCAGGCAAGAGGCGGGAGGCCCCCGGGGAAATGGGGCTCGCGCCCTCCGCGCTGCAGAGGCGCCGGAGGGGCGGGGGCAAGCGGACTGGGCGGGGCGGGGGCGCGGGCGGCTAGGGGCGGGGGCAGAGGCCCTCTGGGAGGGAACGGGAGGAGCGAAGGGGCCTAGAGGGCTCCACTAAAAACTGTGTGTGAGGCTGGCGGCCGGCGGGAGAGGCGACCGGGGTGGACTGGCCCGAGAAGGAGCCCAGTTCCCCGTACAGCCTGAGGAGGCCGCCTAGAAGGCGGACAGACCGACGGCTGCGAGGGCCAGCATGCCCCCATTGCTACACCCCGCCCTGCTGCTGCTCCTGGGCGCCACGCTGACCTTCCGGGCGCTCCGGCGCGCGCTCTCTCGCCTGCCTCTGCCGGCGCACGTGCGAGCCGACCCGCTGCGCACCTGGCGCTGGCACAACCTGCTCGTCTCCTTCGCCCATTCCATTGTGTCAGGGATCTGGGCACTGTTGTGGTGAGTGAAGGACCGGGAGAGTGAAGGTAGCTAGGGGATCCCGTAGTTACTCTCCCCATCACGGGGGGCTGAGGCTATGCAGCCTCACATGATTGCTTGTAACCAATCGGGGACGGCAGCTGCCCTAGGGGGAAGAGGACCTCACCTGGGAAACGGGAGACACCTGGGTTTCGGCCAAGCCCCTCCTCGCTTCCCGGTCTGTAGTGGGAGCCCAGACTCCCCTGGGACTGGCGTGGGTAATTGGGAGTTGAGGGTCCTTGGCAATGGGAAGATGAGCCCCTGCCTGCTTCCTTCCCTCCCCCCCAGTGTATGGCAGACCCCAGAACTGCTGGTGGAGATTGAGACGGCGTGGTCGCTTTCTGGCTATCTGCTAGTTTGCTTCTCCACAGGTAAGTCTTGCCCAGTAAGCATGAAGTATGTGGGGGAACGGGGATTAACTTGTTAAATCCCCTTCGTGACCTCCTCTCTCATCCCTCCACTAGGGTACTTCATCCACGACACAGCGGACATCGTGGTTAGTGGCCAGGCTCGAGCTTCTTGGGAATACCTCGTCCATCATGTCATGGTGAGAAATGGGATGTGGTCTAGGCCTGGTGCTAGCAACTTCAGTCTCACCGATCTTCCTGAACCTGGGAAGGGGATGACCATCTTTCCTTAACCCCATTCCCACGGTGCCCTACATGTTCCTGTGCTAGGATGCTAAAGGGTTGGTACTACCTTTGTGCCCTTGGCTCCCTATTTGAGGCCAGCAATCCATAGCCTCACCTCCTTAAACAGATTATAAACTCTACCCAGGGATAAAAATTTAATGTTGGACTCACTGAACTATATGCCAGAAGAAAGCAAACGGGAAGGTTTTCTAGCCCTCAATCTGGTAGTCTTGACAAACTTCCAGGAAAGCCTTGCAATCTGTTTCCTAACCTGTTCTCTCCCTTGCCCTCTAGGCCATGGGTGCTTTTTTTTCAGGCATCTTTTGGAGCAAGTTTGTAGGTGGAGGTGTCCTAACACTGCTGGTGGAGGTCAGCAACATTTTCCTCACCATCCGTATGATGATGAAGATCAACAATGCCCAGGACCACCTCCTTTACCGGATCAACAAGTATGTCAACTTGGTCATGTATTTTCTCTTCCGCCTGGCCCCTCAGGCTTACCTCACCTATTTCTTCCTGCGATATGCGGGCCAGAGGACCCTCGGCACCTTCCTGCTGGGTATCCTGCTCATGCTGGACATTATGATTCTCATCTATTTTTCCCGTCTCCTCCGCTCTGATTTCTGCCCTGACCGTGTACCCAGCCAACAACACAAAGACAAATTCTTGACGGAGTAAGGGGCATACAGCCTGGGACTTGTGGCAAGGGCAGCAAACACAACCAAGGGAAAACAGCCTCACACAAACTGAGATGAGACTTAGCCCCAAACCTGGGGCATCCAGCCTCTCCACCTTTCAAGCCTGCACCCAATTGAAAACACTAATGAGAACACTCTGAAGTCCTTGTCCTTTCTTGGGCAAGGCGTGAGGGAAGCAGACAGACCGGTTGGACATGGTAGATGGGTGTGGGGACAAGGTGCTATGTGAGAGCCAGCCAACCCACACTGCCCTGAAATGGATGCTAATAAAAACTCTTGGTATTGGTTTCATACAAAGCCTCTTCCTGGGATAAAGGAAAGGGTTCTTGTTAAAACTTTTTGCTTGTTCTCTTACCCTTGTGATGGAGGTTAAGTTCTAGCTGTCTCAGGACAACTAACCCTAGTCTGAATCACAAATATCTGCTATCTGAGCTTGCACCACCAGGATTATAGCAAGTATAGTGCAATGACAGTGCTGAGTGTTCCAACAGAGTGTATAGATCAACAGTCTTGCTTAAACCCCATTATTTATTGTGTATGAGTATATACCACAGTATGGACTCCCCCAGTACAACCAGAAATCAACATAAAGAAACATGTACAGCAAAAAAAATTTATATTTAGAATTAGCCAGCTGGACTCAGTTTAGATGATTCCAATCTGAAAAACAAAAGGGAGCTTTGTTACTAGGAGTAGAAATGTGAAGATTAAGCTGGAATGTCATGGTTAAAAAGCAAAATGTGGGCACAGGGCAGGGCCTATTAGGATAGGAGTGCAGTCAGTCAGTTAAGACTAATCAGCAAAACTCAAGCTTGGGTCACAAAGATACACACCATTTGCACCCAGGGGGTGGTGTTAAGGAGTTCCTAGCAAAGGAAGCTTACTTTGTTGGCAACATCCAAAGCATCATAGTCAGGAGCCAGCCGAACATATGCCTTCTTCTCTCCATCAGGCCTAGGATGGAGGAAAAAGGCTTATTAGTTAGTCCCTGTTGCCTTCACTGCTCCCAGAGCCTCCCCCCAGTCTTCTGGCACATCAGTGGTTCCTTTGTTCATGTCATTCTTTTCCAAATAGTGATTCCCCTCCCCATCATCTGCGCAGGAGGGTAGGGAAGCTAAGCTACAAAGCAGGCCAATTCCCTTTTATGGGAAATACCACAGGACATTTACATCCAGGTAATCTGACAAATTATATTCTATTCTAGGACTCACCACTGTCTAGGGGTAGGAATCAATGAGCGCCAACCCCATACATAAATTAAGCCCTACAGGCAGGACAGCTGTTGATTCCTCAAAAGTCCATATTCCATACAAAGGACTATCAATTACAACGGGTTGCTCATTTCTCAAGGCTTGCATACTCTGAAACCTAATTCTGACCCCAAAGCAGCACCAAGGAATTTTATGCCATTCAGGTTTCCTGGCTGACTGAGGCCCCAGCCTCCTCCCCATCCCATGGGGCCCCACTCACCTGATCAGGGTGTTGACCTTGGCCACGTCAATGTCATAGAGCTTCTTCACAGCCTGTTTGATCTGGTGCTTGTTGGCCTTGACATCCACAATGAACACAAGTGTGTTGTTGTCTTCTATCTTCTTCATGGCTGACTCGGTAGTTAGGGGGAACTTGATGATGGCATAGTGGTCAAGCCTGGGGAGGTAAAATGGGGTCACCTGGCCTGAGCCCAGAAGATGGGGTGGGCCCTCTTTTGGAGTCAAAGTGCATCAGACAATGAGGTAGCAATCATTTTTGTCAGACTTTGGTCGCTTAACAATGTCATCATTTGCACCCTGAAACCTAGGGACCTGGAGCCTCAGCCTGAGAGAACCATGTGCACATTATTTCACTTGAAGGGCTTTCATCCTTTAAGTGATTAAAGGACCACCTTTGAGTTCCAAACCTTCATTTATTTGACCTCATTTCTAAAGGGCAAATTTCTGGATGAAATTTGAGACTTGAGAAGTCGAATGACTTACCCCAAGGGCACAAAGCTAGACTGGCACCCTGAAACCCAGGCTAGGGTTCCAAAGAACGGTGGTGCTTTACTGGGCTGGACAAACTATTTCTGCGCCCTCTGGTTGCTGAAAATTGGCTTAAGGGCCATCAATTTTTGAGAACAACTTTTATTTACAGCTCAAGTTAAACTTATAGTGGCCTGAGCACACCTATAACACAGCTTTTCCCCTGATATTCAGAGAAGCAGGACTGTATTTACACTGATACTACCTTCCCATTTTGAAGCTATAGACCAGATACTAACCTTTCATTACACTAAATTCTAAGTCCAAATGGGGGTAAGAAGTCTTATCAAGTGCTTTCCTTCACAGACACAACCCACACTCCTGCCTTTTTCTTAAGAAGCAGTGAGAGAAGCAGAGACCCATTGGTAGCAACTACCACCATGGCTCTACTCTATTCTGTGATCCCTAAATTCAGTTACTAACAGCAGCATGACACCAAAATACTCAAGTACCCTAACCTTTTGCCTATTTCCCCCTAACCATTACCCAAGTGTAAAAAATTAAGAGTGAATGAAAAGCAGCTTTCATACCCTGTTTCAGGCCTTCACTGCCCAATACAAATGAATGAATCTCTTTTATCAACCTAGAATCATCCCACATCCTCACCCTCAAGGACTACTCCCTACAGCAACAGATGCTGAGGAATAACTAAACCTGGAACTCCAAAACAGAGAACATCTAAGTCCTACTTTATACTCCCAAGAAAGTGGACTTTAAAACCCTAACATATAAAACAATAATAACCTAACAATTAACCTCGGCAGTAACTCTGGGTTGTTTTAAACAATTCCTGCCAATATTGTAAAAACACTTCCCTTTTTCTTAACTAGGGCATTAACAATCTCCTCACACCATTAGAAAAAAAACGTTAGTTAGGTACTAATATGTTTTTGAGAAGCCATGCTCTAAGTTTAGTAAATTTTGTCAACTACCAATGGAGGACACTCAACCATCTTTTCAAAGTTTCGGGCCAGTACTGACTTGTTTCTTCTGGGGGCGCTCTTCCGAGGATATTTAGGCTGCCTTCGGAGCCGCAGCGTCTTGGGCCTTCGGAAGGTGGGTGACGTGCGGATCTTCTTTTTTTTGTGGCTGTGGACGCCTTTCAGGACTGCTTTCTTTGCCTTCAAAGCTTTTGCTTTGGCTTCGGCTTTCGGAGGGGCAGGGGCTGAGAAAGAAAGAAAATGAGGGTGCCGGATTCAGAAATCGATCACTTCCGGCCTGAAGACCGGTAGTGGGCGCCCCAGGCCACATGTGCATCAGTGGTTCCTTTGAAGACATCATTTAGTCTCAGGTGGTTACAATTTTTCCATCATATGCACGATACTGGAGCAAACGAGTAAATCCAGGGATACGACTAACTAGCAATGATCTAACTCTTGATACTTGACAGGATGCTAAGTTTTCTATATACTATCGTACAGCCAGCCACCCTGGGAGGGTCTATAGCTCCGACTAACATACGGGGTAAAGAAAAGAAAAACGAGTAAAGTCAACGATATAGTTGAGAGCACTGATTCCTTACAGGTCTGGAGACATGGGAGCTCCAGCCGGTGGATTCGTGTATCTCTCTCGAGCCGATTATCTGGCTGTCGGCTTGCCTCCCAACCCCCTTTACTGGAGCCCAGCCCATGCGGCTGGGCCCACGCGCCGCGGCGTGGCCGAAACGCAAGGAGCAGCTCCGGAGCCGACACCCCAAGTCTTAGCCCAACCACCGTCCTTTCAGTTCGTTCACTCTGCGGGGATCCCCGGCCAGCCAGCTCTGGTACCCCAGCCCCAACACACACCTTCCTTCTTCGCTTTCGGCGCCATCTTCGTGAAAAGGGTTTCCGAGACCCGTTCCCATGGGCTTATAGAGCCAAGTCTCACCGAAGACTCACGATGCTTCTTCCTTAAAGCTGATTGGGTAATTTGTAGCGCGGCGCCCGCCGGGAATGGTAGTTAGGTTTAATCTCGGGAGACGAACTAAGCATGCGCCACCCCGCCCCTCATTGGACAGTAAAGCTTCTTGGGGGTTGTAGTTTTCTAGAGACGTGTGTTTATGCTAACGCGGGCAGATGTTGTACCCCGCTGTCGCTCGGGTCTGGTCCTGCGCGCTTCCCATCTTGAACTACTTCAGGGAAGAGGATTGCAGTTCCAGGAGACAGTAACACTGCAAACTGGAATGAATATAGTTAGATTGACTCAGGGAGAGTGAAGCAAAGTTCTAGAACGTTAGAGCAGAATTTGTCGAGCCCAACACCCTCAAACATTGGTGGAAATTGAGGTCAAAAGAAGAGAGACATGGCTTGTCAATAACGATGATTTGGTGGCAGAAAAAGTCGAGTCAGGTAGAGGGGAGAAGGAAAGTTTCAGAGGAGGTAGAAGGTGGCCACATCTCCCCTCTTTATCTTGACAGATTTCATGCGTTTTCCCGATAATACTCTAGAAACTCTACCAACACTGCGAACAGATTTCTGCAGCATTCACTAGTTCTTCTTGTGAATAATTCCATTCCCAGTCCTCTCTCTTAAAGTAGTCTTCCTTCCCTGCCTCAGTCATCTTTGCATCCTCAAATTCAGTTCCGGACACACAGCAAGGTTTATTATAGTAATGCTCTGGTTTGCTTCTCTGAGGGTCTGTGTCTACCCGGCCTTCACCCCGCCCTTTTCTATCTTCCCCCTCGCCTCTTGGAACCAGATTTCCCTTTTGACGGTGAGATTTGTTGTACGCTACCCCCTCTTCTATCCTGCAGAACTGCAAAATGGAAAAGTTGTCCTTGAGAAGATTCCAAAGGGGTCAGAGCGAAGAACTCCCATACAAGAGAGGAGTCCCCAGGTTCCAGAGCAGTGAGTGACCTCCCCAAAGGGCGGAGTTCCCGGTCCATCTACCCTCCTTTATCCTCCATCCCGGGAGGCAGTTTGGTCTTCAGCCTCCGCACCCCTTAATCTACAAGATAGCCTTCGAGGAAAAGACACCAGACCTCGGACGTCTCTCTCCATGGTGGGCATCCAGCTCCGCCCCTGGCACCCCTTCTACGTCCCCCAACCCCACCTCCCAGCGCAGAAGAGCGAGCGGGGGCCGACTCTATGAGTCACGTCCTGGGCCTGGAGTTGAGGAGGGAAGCGCCGCCTCTCCTTGGGCCCCTTTTCTCCCCCTTTATCCCTCCCCGCCGTTCCTGCGGCAGCCAGATGCTGCGCAGCAATCACCGATCCCTCATCACTAATTCGGCTGGGTAAGGGTCCCTGTGGAGGCGCAGCCAGGCACAGAGGTGCAGGGCAGAGCGACCTGGGAGATACCGGTCAGGGCAGGTTCCAGCCTGGGTGGGGGCGGTCCTGGTACCCGGTGAGGAGTCTGGCCAGGGAACCTGAGCTGGGGCAGTGTAGGGAGGAGGAGAGGAGGGGGAGGCCGGGGCAGGCTGCAAGGCCGGGAGCTGCCGGGAAAGGGGCAGGGGGCGGCCCTTCTCCAGGAATTTCCGGGGATCATGTTACAGCGCTCGCAGAGGGAGAGCCGAGTGGGACGCGAGGCCCTGCAGCCGACTGGGCCCCTCACCCACTCCAGCAGCCCGCAGGCTTCGCAGCGCTGTCCCTGCCCACACTGACCCCGTGTGGCGGGGCCGCTCCGCGCCCCCAGGCCGTTCTGTTATGGTGGGGCCGCCTCAACCCCGAGTTGTCGTCGGGTCCCCGCGGCCTCGAGTTATTGTAGGAACTATCCGGCCTCGAGTTATTGTAGGATCCGCGCGGGCTCGGGACCCCCCGGACGGGACTCCCCGCCCCCATTTGGTGGCAGAGGGGTCTCCCCGTCCCCGAGTCGTCTTCGGGACTCCCCGGGCCCGGGTGATTGTGGGTTCGCCCGGGCCGCGGGTGATTGTTTCATCCCCGTTGCCCGCGGTGGTCGTAGAGTCCCCGAGGCCTCGGGATCCCGTAGGCACCCCGTGGCCCCGAGTTATAGTCGGGACACCTCGGTCTCGGGTGATTGTCGGGTCTCCACGGGCCTGGGTCGCTGGGGCAGATCAGGCCTCCGCGCCTTCTCTGGGCGCCCCACAAGGCCGCAGGCAAGATGAACATTCTGGCGCCGGTGCGGAGGGATCGCGTCCTGGCGGAGCTGCCCCAGGTAGGCGCCAGAGCCACGTCGAACTTCTGGCTTCAGTGGTGTATGGGCGGGGAGGAGGCGGCACCAGACCAGTTAGCGGCTTGAGCCCAGCCCTGCTGCCCAGCTGGGCCTGCTGCTTCTGGGTGGTCCCCTCCCCACCCCCAGCCCCGGGCTGCTTGGCTGCGGGACAAGGGCCAGGAATGGGTGAGTCCCACTCTCTTGCATCCCTGTCAGTGCCTGAGGAAGGAGGCCGCTTTGCACGTGCACAAAGACTTCCACCCCCGCGTCACCTGCGCCTGCCAGGAGCACCGGACAGGCACCGTGGGGTGAGTTGGAAACACACACAACAAAGAAAGGAAGTCTCAGGAAACTAGTCAAAACAAGGGTAACATCCACCCTATTGGGGCTTTACTGCAGCCTCTAGCAATTATATAGTTATTCCCCGCTTTTTATGCCCCTGTGTTGCCGTCTTTCTTCCCAGCAAGGTTGTGGTGAGGCCTCTGAGATGGGGTTGGGTAGAAAGGTGGCAGTTAAATTTCTGACACAGAAAAGGTGTCCAACATGAAGGAGTGGTCACCAGCTCAGCTTCCCACATACCTAATCTATTTGAGCCCCAGGGTAGGGGCTGTGCCTTTAAGGATGAGTCCCATTGTGGGTAAAAAACAAACAGGAATACTAATAACAGTTGCCACCATTAATGGAGCATTTACTGTGTGCCAGGAAGTGTGTTGGGTACTATTATTGTCTTTTATTAAAAGGAAAACACTATTACTTTCTGATTTCAAAGATTTTAAAATGTGTGTGTGTGTATGGGGGGATATGTTTCAGATTATAGAACATTTATCTCATTTTAACCTTCACAACAAACCAATAAAATATACTCAACTCTCCACTTAACAAATGTTGAAACTGAGACAGAGAGGCTAAATAACATGTCCAAAGTTACACAGCTGGTAAGTGTGAGAGCTGGGATTCAAATGCATGTCTCTCTGACACTGAAGCACAAAACACTCCTTGCTAGCACATTTGTCTGGGCAAGCTGCCTAGGAGGCCTTGTCTATGACAACCACAGCCTGGGTGTAGCTACCTTCTGGACCTACTAGGGAGCATTGGGACTCCCTAGAAGAGAAACTAGGACCCATTCCTCCTGTTCCCCCTTATGTCCAGCAGATTTAAGATCTCCAAGGTCATTGTGGTGGGGGACCTGTCGGTGGGGAAGACTTGTCTCATTAATAGGTAAGAGGGTGCTAGAGCTGACCTGGGTTGGGCTGGGCAGGGAGGGGTGAGGCCTAGCCAGGGGGGGCTGGGCCCAGGCCAAAGCATCTGGTGACCCCTTAGGTTCTGCAAAAACACCTTTGATAAGAATTACAAGGCCACCATTGGAGTGGACTTTGAGATGGAACGATTTGAGGTGTTGGGCGTCCCCTTCAGTCTGCAGCTGTAAGTGCTTCCTATACCCCTTCCAGCCATTTCTTCCTCTAGCACCTACACCCTACCTACCGCCCACCCCCATACCTGTGTTTCACTCCCTTTCCTCCCAGCTGGGATACCGCTGGACAGGAGAGGTTCAAATGCATTGCCTCAACCTACTACCGAGGAGCTCAAGGTAAGGGCTTGGGTGAAGTGGGGTGGGTGGGTGCACTTGGCCTCTAATCTAGGGCTGGGAGTATTGTGGAAATGAACTAGTAGTGTCTTCCCCATCGTCCCCTGAGACTGTTTCTGCCACTCTTCCAGCCATCATCATTGTCTTCAACCTGAATGATGTGGCCTCCCTGGAACATACCAAGTATGTGGGGATGCTGAAATATAATAGGGCCCCGGGAAGAGAGAGTTCAGAAAAGATGGGTGGTCAGGGGCATGGTAGGGAAGGGAAGAATGCATCTAGGAGCAAAGAGGGTAATTGAACACATGAGTGTCAGTGGAAGGATCCTGTCCGATGCACTCATCTCGCAGGCAGTGGCTAGCTGATGCACTCAAGGAGAATGACCCTTCCAGCGTGCTTCTCTTCCTCGTGGGTTCTAAGAAGGACTTGAGTGTAAGTGTGCCAGTGGGGGGACTTCCCAGCTTGGTGAGGGAGCCCTCCTTCATCTGACTCTGACTTTCCCTAAGACTCCTGCTCAGTATGTGCTAATGGAGAGAGATGCACTCAAGGTGGCCCAAGAAATGAAGGCTGAGTACTGGGCAGTCTCATCTCTCACTGGTGAGTAAGAGGCTTCAGGCCTTGTGCTGTGGCATTCCTGCCTACTTTGCTTTTTAGCTGTGCCCGATGACCCCAGGCCTACAACTGCCCCTGAGCACCCCTCTGCTCCCTGTGTTAGGTGAAAATGTCCGGGAATTCTTTTTCCGTGTGGCGGCACTGACCTTTGAGGCCAACGTGCTGGCTGAGCTGGAGAAATCAGGGGCCCGGCGCATTGGGGATGTTGTCCGTGAGTGCCCACCTGGATGAGGGTGGCGGAGAGCTTGGGGAGTCTCCAATCTCTTGTTTCACGTATTTCCCACCCTTCTTCAGGCATCAACAGTGATGACAACAACCTCTACCTAACTGCCAGCAAAAAGAAGCCCACGTGTTGCCCATAAGGGGTGAGAGACTATCCAGAGACTGCCCAGCCCTGGGACACTGTGCCACCTTGACTCCCCCAGAGCTCTACCCCTGGACATTTGCACTGACTTTTTCCAGACCAAAGAGCTGCCCCTTGGTGGCAGTTCCCCCAGAGGACCATGCCAGTCACTTCTTGGCCCTAGGCACCATGCCAAAGACTGGACAGCACCCCCCTCCCCCGCAGGTTGCCCAGTGGTGGGGAAGTGATCCCTGCTGCTTTCGCTCAGCTTGCTGGGCCCTTAGGTATAACTGGTATGATAATGCTTAATGATCCCAGCCTCACACTGTGCCTTATGCATTAAAATCTCTATTGTTAGCAGTTTAGAGGTTGAGCCCTTTTTGGGGGATGAGGGATGTGGAATGGACAGAGAGTGAGCGCATGTGTGAAGCCTGCACTACAGTACTTGCTGTGGGGTGTTTGTGTTGCATTAAGTGTGGGGAGCAGAGGTATGGTTCTGTGTTTCGGGTGGTGTCTGAGGGGCATGTACATGTGTGTTGTGAGGTGAGTAGATTTTTTATGTGCGCTATGTGAATACTGTATGTGGAGTGTATAGTAGGTTACTATGAATGCAGTTGATCCTGCTCCCCGCAGGGGGCAAGCCTATGGAGACCCATGAGGCTACATGATTGAAATAAGAAAAAGCACGAACACACTTTGGAAGAGCTCAAAAACCTTAACTGCTCTAATAAGTAATTTGAGAAAGAGTGAACAAGGCCTTGGTTCTATGTTGGTCTCTTTATTGGGCAGTATTTCTCTGGGTTAGGAGGGAACACTGATAAGGGGCTCAGGGTGGTCGCCACAGGGGGCTGAGAGCCAAATCAAGTCCTTATCCGAGGAGCCTGCGGGCGGAAAGAGCGCGAGTGAGCCTGGCCTCACTCGAGGAACCTGGGAAGAGCACGGATGGCGGGGCGGAGGTTGGAGATGGTTGCTCCGCTAGCTGGCGGGCGAGGTTCAAGTGCAGATTGGAAACCGGGATAAGGGCTGGGGCAAGATTCCGAAGGACTGGGAGGGGCCCGGCGGGGGCGGAAGTGTGCTGTTGTGAGAATGGATGGGGCGGGGCTAAAGTCTGGGGGGGTAGGATTAAAAGCTGGGGGTAGGTCTGGAGAGGAATTAGGGATGTGACTGAGGGCTGGGCCTGAGAGGCCGAGCTAAAGTTTAGGCCTGACTGAGATAACAGGGAAGGTAGCAAAGTGGGACAAAGAGGGAGGAGCCTGGTAGGAGCTGGGGGGCAACGGATGAAGAGCGAGGCTGAAGCTTAGACGTGAGCTGAGTAGACAAAGCGGCCTAGAGCGGGGGCGGGGGAGGTGGGTAGAAAGGTTGGGCAAACATGAGGCGGACAGGGGTGAAGGGCTGAGATGAGGGTTTAGGGTCGGCTCCGCCAAACAGGTCCTGGGTTGGACTTCGGCGAGGTCGAGTCTTGTAGAGAGGAAGAACTGGGCTGAGAGCGATGTGGGTCAGGACGACAATGACGGTTGAAAGATGGACAAAGAAAAAGACTAAGGACAATGACAACACCTGGGATGAGAGCAGCAGTGGTAAGGAGAAGGCGGGGCAGAAGAATACGGGAGGGCTTCGAGCTGGGGCCAAGGCACTGGGGCTGGCTTGAGGACCCCTGGAAGGTGTAGAAGAAGTGAGCCTGACGAAGGAGGCGGGGCCAAGGGCTGGGCTGGGGCCGAGTTAGAGCCTGGGGGTGGGTTCACATCGAGGTCCTGAGGACCTGGAGAATAGCCACCGCATTTTGCCTGGGCAACCTGCCTGAAGCCAGAGCTCCGACTCCTGTTTGTAAGGTTGGAAAGCAACTCTGTGCCGCAGCTGTCGCCCAAGAAGTGCTGGGCCTGGCTGGAGCAAATGTTCCAGCATTCACCCTGTCGCTGGGGCTGGGGCTGGGGCGGGCGGGTCCACTCTGAAGGCAGGAAGGATTCTGGAGGTTCCACGCGTGACAGCACAATCGCATACAGATGTGGGCGGGGCCAGGGCGGCATTTCCAAGGAGACACGTGCACTCGGCCCCTGCCTTGCTCCCTCCTCTTCCCTCCTTCCCTTTCTTGGGTTGTCCCTCTCTCCCCCTTTCCCTCCCTCCCCACCCCCATTCATCTACTGTGGTGTCCAACCTGGAACCCCCTCATCTGTGCTCCGAGGGCGGGGGGAGCTCCTCAGCCCGCAGGACTGGGAGGATTCCGAACAAATGAGCATCACCTGTGAGTTTTGAGTTAGGCCCCTGCGCCTGGGGTTACCGCCCTACGGAGACCACAAGCCTTCCTATTCCTTTCAAGCTATCATCTTCATTCATTATGAAGCCCCCCCCTGTGTCCAACCTCAGTCGTTTCTGCTGCAGGAGCTCTGGACTGCTGCTTCAGTCGGAGCTCTCTCCTTCTGTGAAACTAGAGAGCACATGGCCTTTCTCAGATCTGAGGAGCGGTACTAAATCTCTCCCCTTGGCAGTTGTGCTTGTCAGGGCTTCCTGGGGGCTCGGGGGGAAGTTAGTAGACCCTACATGGACGGCTCTTTCATGGTGACTGAAGAGAGCAAAGAAAGTGGTCAGACAAAGCCAAATTGGAATCCTGACCCTGGCTCTCGGGGCCCTCTGGCCTGACCTTAAGTCCAGGCTGGATAAGGGAGACTGTGGAGTCAGGATTGGGTGAAACCAGGGGATGAAGAATTGGCTGTGTTAGAGTTGAACAGGTGTAACAGGAAGTGACAGCTGGCAGGGCAGGTTTTGGAAAGGAACCCCAAATACAGCTGAAAGAGCACAGGCTATGGAGCCAGGAATACTGGGTTTGAATCTTATCTCTGCCATCTATTAACTTGTGTCTTTGGACAAGTTAACTTATTCTGAATTTCTCTGTCCCCATCCATAGAATGGGCTGTGGTGAGCATTTAGAATCAAAGGCATATTTTAAAAGCCCAGCACACTGCCCGACATTGGGAAGATGCTCATCCTGAGTCAATTCTCTTTCCCTAGAAAAGTCCCCACGTTTGAACCCTAGGCAGAATGTCCATTGCCATAGATAGCTTCTTTGTGGCTCCAATAGGGGGTTTAGTCTATTCTACTCATGTAGTGATTCAATCACCCAACATTGACTGAGTACTTTTTGTGTCCCAGGATCCGTAGATACAGAGGCAGATGAAATATGTAGGGACCTTGTTCTAAAGTTGCTCTAACTATGTGAAGTACCATGGCAGGGTAAAGGGGCACAAGACCAGTGTGACCAATTCTTCTTGGATAGCATTGTTCTAAGATGAGCAGGTATTGCTGGGTAGTGGGAGGCAGGAGAAGGAATAGAGAAGGGAGTGGTAGAAGGAGGGATGGATGGGTAGGAGGAACTGATAATTGAGGAAGAAACCAGGGCCCAGGGGCAGGAGGGGCAGTTATAAGGAATTTGCACTTCATCCTGAAAGGCAGTAGCATGCTATTAAAGAGGAGGAACATGGCGGACCAGTTGGCATTCTAGAAAACTCAGTTTGGCTGCATTGTGAGGACTGGATGAGGGTAGTGAGACAGGAGGCAGGGAGGCCAGACAGGCTACTGCAGTTGTCTTGGTCAGAGATAATGAGGACAGGCAGGCATGGTAAGACTTGGTCCTCAAGTTGGTGTAGAAGTGAGGGAAAGGATGACTTCTAGATTTCTGTTGCTCTCTGAATGGAAGATACAAGAGGGGTGCTTCATGGAAGGTAGGGAGAAGATGGTAGGTTCATGTGGGATGTGCTCGTTTAAGATGTTTGGGACTGTTCAAGAGGATATTGGCTACGTGCTCAGGAAAGTCTGGATTGGAGACCCAGATTTATGCCATTTTATTGGTGGATGCTGAAACCATGGAAGTGGATGACATTATCCAAGACAAGCTTGTGTTCTGAGGAGGCCAAAGACAGAACCCTGGTAATCATTAATTTAAGGGGTACAGCAGAGGAAGAGGGAGCAGCGCAGGAGTCAGGAAAGAACTAAAGAGCTAGTCAGAGAAGGAAGAAACAGACGAGAGAGGTCTGCGTGGAAGCCAAAGGAACATAATTTGCAGAAGAAAGTGATTGGTCAACAGGGTCAAGTGGAATGAGATGAAAAGGAGGCCACTGGGTGTGGCTACTGGGAAATTGTTGACAGCCTTTGCCTGGGCTATTCTGATAGAGGGGTCAGGAATGGCTGCCATGTATAGGTGGCTGGAATGTAAACAGGTGGAGATTCTGAGCTCACTGCAGGTAGAGACTGGGCCTCCTTCACTGGTATCTAGTGAAGCGATCCAATATGTCTGTTAAATGAATGTGTGAGTGAATAAACTTGAAAAGGAAGAGGGGTGGGAGATTCAGTGGTAGAGGGAGAAACACGGTTCATAGAGTGTTTTGTTTAAAGATGTTCATGCCTGCAGGAGGGAAGAAAACATTAAAGAAGGAGAAAGTAAAAATTCTGGCTGGGACCTAGAGTTCAGGTGCTTTGGGTAGGAGGAAAGAGGAACGCTTCCCCCAGGCTGAAGGAGAACTGATGAGGGTGGGAGCAGCCACAGACAGGGCTGGTGATCTGCAGAGAGGAACAGCAGCAGGGTAGGGGTTTCCAGGGAAGTGCTTGAAGTTTCATTGAAACATTCAATAAATCTGGAGTACTTACTGTGCTGTGGAAAACACGGAGCTGACCAGGGACTTATAGAAAGATGACCAAGTTCCACGAAGGCCCAGCTGAAGTCCCCAAGCAATCAGCTTCCCTTCCTTAAGCAGGACTCAGCTCCGATGCCCTAACAGATACAGCTAATTGTTGGAAGGAAAGTGGCAGACTCTACCCTCTGGTTACTGATGGAGCTGCTTGCTGTCCCAGTTAAAGTTCTGCTCGGAACAACCTCTGACCAGGTGCCACACAGCCTGGGAGAATTCCTGAAACTGCCCCTCCTTGCCTAGACTCCGGCTCCCTCCTGTTATTACTCCAGATTCAGCTCCTATTATGCGTCTTCCTAATCCCATCCTACCCCCCACCATCTCAGTAGGTGTCCTGGCTCTCTGCTCCCACAGGCCTTCTTCCCCACTACTTCCCTCCCTATCAGTGTCTGCCTCATACCACTCTCATGAACTGTTCCACATACCTCCCCTGCATCCCTCTCCCAGCCCCTTGCGAGCAGGGACCGTTTTTTTTTTTTAATCTCTGCATCTCTAGGATGCAACTGGGGCCTGACACCAGGAGCTTCTCAGCTTCCCATGGGGTGCTGCTGCTGCCACTCTGTACTCTCTCAGATATAAACAGGTTACCCGGCTGGGAAAGAGGACATCTGCGTGTGGCGTCTAGCACTGATGCATCATCTACTCTCTCCTCTGAAGGTGGGTCCAGGGGAATCTCTGTCCCAGGGGTTCCCGCCACCCCTCACTTGGGAAAGCTGACACCTTAGCAATAGGAAGGAGAGTGTGTTTGGTCCTGAAGGGGTTACCCAGTTGCCCCACCGCCACCCCATCCCCTACTCATGCCAGGGGGTCCCTTTTGGGAAGTGACAGTCACTCCTTTCCTTTGTGTAGTACCTTGGAGTGCACAAATATCTTTGACACGTGAGCTGAGTCCTCCCAACAACCCTGCAAAATCAGTATTACTACCATACCCATTTGGTGGACAAAGAAATGACTCAGAAAAATAAAGTAACCGGCCCTAGGTCACCCAGCTAGTAAGTGACAGAGCCAAGACTAGGGCTCAGGCCGGTCTGACTTGGACTCAAGGTCTTCCCTCAAATGCCTTATGAAGAAAGGGCATGAGGAGAGGAAGCAGAAAGGGAGGCCACCAACTGGGTCGGGGTGTATGGGGGGACCTGGAATCCTCACAGCCTGGTGGGGGAAGGGAAAGGAGGGGAATGTGAGGCAAGGCTCAGACCAAGCTGCTGTTTACTCATCTCTCAAGTACTTTACGGCCACTTGGACTAACACCCCCCTAACCTGGGTTATATGTCTTGTCCCCCGTTCTACCCCTTGTTGGGGCTGGGTAAAGGTGTAATCCTTCTAGCCTGTTTGGAGGGAGTTAGCCGGCCATAGCACCCCATGCCAGGCTGCCATGGAAGTCATTGGTGCTTACCCACTTCTTCCTCTGGAGGTGGGTGCAGCCAGGGACCCAGCAGGGGGACCCGCAGGAAGGTGCTTTGTCCTTTCTGCCCTGATGTGTGAATCCTTGGGCACATGGAGTCACTTCACGGGCTTACCTTTTAGTGGGTGGCCAGAGGGGAGAGCCATTAGTAGACTGGAGCCCTAGGCAGGGTCAGTGGTGAGGCAGTGCAGGTAGAGGCTGGGAGACGCCAGTATATGTCTAGGAGTTGCATTCAGCTGAGCAAGAGAAGTGTGAGCCTTTCTCCAGAGCTTTCCCGTAATCCCAGATTCTCACCCCAGCAGCTTCTCCCCTGTGCTCTGGGAAAGGGAACATGGTATCTGTGCTGCCTGCAAGGGGTGGAAGGGCGCACGCTGGAGGTGGGTTGTTCAAGTCCGTGGATATAAGGACTGGGGAAAGAGAATGGACGGGGAGTGGGAACCTGAGTAAAGAGCAGGGAAAGAATTAAGAGCGAGCATGGGAAAGGGGAGAAACATGTCCAAAGAGAGGAGGAGGTTGGAGAAGAGAGGAGAAAAGGGAAGGACCAGAGTCAGGAGAAGCCGAGGAGCAGGACGTGCGTTGGGTTAGGCCTTAGCTCCCTCTGTGTTATAGCAGGCCTTGGGGCAGGAGCGGCTTCAGAGGCTGAGGGGTCGGACGAAAGCCTCCTGGGTCTGTGCAGATGACAGGTATACCATGTTTCCTGGAAAATAAGACCTAACTGGAAAATAAGCCCCGGCATGATTTTTCAGGACACTCGTAATATAAGCCCTACCCCAAACATAAGCCCCAATTAAGATCGTCAGCCAGACATGACTGTTTGAATATGGATTCTGTACATGAATAAATGAATAAATGTAGATTGTTGGAGCAAAATTAAAATAAGACCCGGTCTTATTTTCGGGGAAACACGGTAGGAACTGAGGATGCTGTTGCTGCTGGCTCTAATCGCTGGGGACTCTGAAGTGGCACTCCAGCGTGACATGGCCAGAGGTCCTTCCCCTACCCAGGCCCCCTGTGAAACGGGGTAGCTGACAACTCCGATCAGCTGGGTGAAAGGAGTCAGTGGAGGGCCCCAGGTCGGTAGGCTCCCATGAAGGGCAGGGGTGGGGAGGAGGTGTGTCACAGGACAGCAAGGGGGACTTGGTGAGGACCTTGGTGACATGTTCCTGGGAGCCTGCGGGGGGTAGGCAGATTCATGCAGTGGATTGGGGAAAGTGGAGTGCTGAGACGCGGAGTTACTGGTGGGCTGGACTACTAGGAAGTAGAAACAGCTTGGCGGGGTGGTGGCAGGTGAATTTCAAGCCTTGAGACGGAGCTGTGGGACAGGAGACCCACACATGTGCTGCTGCCCATGTGTGACTGACTCCCACCCCTCAGGTGACTTCAAGGACACCGACAGGTGCTGTTGGAAACACAAACAGTGCACTGGGCACATCATCCGCCCCTTCCCCTCTGACTGCGGCCACCACAACCTGCACCTGCACTCTGTCAGCCACTGTGACTGTGATGCTAGGTAAGGGCCCTCCACCTTGGGGGACCGACCGCCCAGGAGATTCCTGGGCAGAGCCAGGTCCAAATGTTCACTGCGGTTCCTTCCCTTAGCTGTGACCCGGCGTTGCCAGCCCAGCCCTGGCTTTGTAAACCAACCTGGCTCTGCTCTAAGAGCCACAGGGAGGAGGTCTTTTGGCAGCCTGGGCTGAGCACAGTGAAAGCACACTGATCCTCAGGGTTCTGGCTCTGGGCCCCTGGGGAGTCCTGGAGGTGTGGGAGCCAGGCTGAGTCCCCTGTGTGGCAGGGCGAAGGAGTGCTTAGAGAAGACAAATAGCAGCAGCTCCCGAGATGTAGGCCCAACCTGCTCCCGAGATGTGGGCTCAACCTGTTTCAACATCATCCAGACCCCTTGCTTTGAGTGCATCCCAGAGGAAGAGTATGTGGAGCGCTTCTGGTACGGCTGGTGAGTGCTGGAGACTGACGGGGGGCACTATGGGGCATCAGCCCCCACTGTCAACCTTCTCTTTCCCTGTCTTCCCTCCCAGGTGCAAAAGCTACAGGCCTCTTTCTGTGGCAGTGATCCACCATCCCATCCACCACAAGTGTGGGGCAGATGACCTGAATGAAGAGGAGGAGGAGGAGGAGGAGGAGGAGGAGGAGGAGGAGGAGGAGGAAGAAAGCAAGCCTCCCATCCCAACCCAGGTGGGGCCTACCACACCCACTGATGCAGGCATAGGCACGGGTACAGTCACAGGGACCCCTGACTCGGCAGCTCCCATCACCATCTGGCGCTCTGAGAGCCCCACAGGGAAGTCCCAGGGCAGCAGGGTTAAGAAGCTCAAGAAGAAAAAGGAAAAAGACAAAGACAAGGAGGAGGACGTGGACGAGAAGGCAAAGCTGAAGAAAAAAGTCAAGAAGGGCAACAAGCTGACTAAGAAGAAAAGCCCAGTTAAATCGGACTCTTCACCTCCAGACTTGAGCAGATCAATAAGCCCAAGGGAGCTGGCCAGGATGTCAGAGTCCAGTCCAGAGAGCCGGGAAGATCTGGAGAGCGTCGACAGTTACAGTGACCCCAGGCAGGGAGAACCCTCCAGTGACGATATTGTGCAATCTTCATTGCCCAGGAAGAGAGAGAAGAACACAGTCCAGGCCAAGAAGCCTGGGGCGAAGGCCTCTCCAGTCAAGGTCAACAAGAGGAAATCTCCCCCAGCATCAAACCCCAATCTCAGTTGAGGCCAGGGCCACCAGGGTGAAGAATAAACACGATCAAGCCTGTAACTGACCCCCTGCTGCTGTTCTCTCTCTCTCTCTCTCTCTCTCTCTCTCTCTCTCTCTCTCTCCAACCTGGCTACTTCTGGGGGGAGGGAGTGGGCTCTGGGCAGGGCTGGAGCTAAGGGGCCAGGGGGCTGCAGGGGTTTCTGAAAGGGAATCTTTCAAGAGGAATTCCATGGGAAGGTAGGTGGGAGGGCAGGGGAGGAGCACAACCAGTTTCTTTGTAACATCTTAGGCCCAAGGCAGAAAAGCACATCTGGGAGGGGCAGGAAGGAGGCTTCCCACTCACTGGGACTGATCTGTGTGAAATCCACTCAGGGACAGGTGGGACTGTCTGCAGTGCAACTGGTAATAAACAACCCTTTAACCCACTCTGCCACTGTATCTGGCCTTTCCCTCCTCTAAGTGGCCCTAGGGAAGGTCCTGAAAGCACTCAAGGGGACATGATCTCCCAGCTGTGTGGCCCTGCTCCTACTAGGCCCTTCTGGAATTTTTGTGCTTAAAGGGAACTGAACTGAGCTCCCAGCAGAAGGCCAGCCCCTCCCCACCCCCAACTCCTGCCAACAAACAGCAAAAAAGATCTTGAAGGAAGAAAAGCAAGGAAGGGAGCTCACCAAGTTTGGGCAGCAGTGGCCATTTTGACTTCTCTGCTGAGCCCCAAGCAGAGGAAAGGGAGTGGGAGGGCCTAACTTTCCCAGCACCAATTCAGAGCTGTGAGACAAAACCCTTGTGAAGACACAGGGAGATCAGGGACCAGCCTACCCTGTGACAGCCCAGCTCCTTTTTCCAGGGCCAGTATGTGTAAGGGGGAGCAGGTGAGCGTGGGGCCCATCCTAGGCCAGATGCACCTGACCTGTGTAGCAGTACTATCAGAGACCAAGGCACAGGTGGTAAAAAGGGGAGCAAGAAAGAGGAGCAGGGGCTCAAGCTAAGAAACCCAAACTTACTTGTGGCCTTTCTCAAATGTGCCACAGAAGTCTAAAGGTGCTCCTTGATTTACATAGGAGTTTACGTCCCCATAAACCCACTGTAAGGCGGAAATACCCTTAAGTAGAAAAAGCATTTAATACACCTGAACACGACAGCTTAGCTGAGCTGACCGTCAACGTGCTCAGAACACTTCCGTTAGCCTACAGCTGGGTAAAAGCACTTAACATGATGAACCACACTGTGGAGGATTGGTGGCTGATCACCATGCCCATGCTGATCACGCGGCTGACTGGGCGCTCTGCTGCTGCTGCCCAGCATCACAAGCGTGTACTGTAATGTGTATCACTAGCCCCGGGAAAGAGCAAAATCCAAAATTTGAAGTATGGTTTCTACTAAACATGTATCGCTTTTGCACCATCATAAAGTAAAAAATCGTTAAGTCGAACCATTGTACGTTGGGCACTGTGTATGTTAGGCACAGTGGATGGGGTGGCTGTATCTGAGTGGAATAACAGCGGCTAACATTTACTGAGGACTTATGCGGTCCCAGGCATTGGGGTAAGCACTTCATTCTGTCCTCATAGATGCCCTGATGAAGCAGGTGTCACCATCTCCATTTTACAGAGAAGCTGGCTTAGAAATGATAGGAGAGTGCTCAAGGTCATAGGGCTGGGAAGTGGAGCAGGAATGTGACCCCAGGCAATCTGATGAAGAAGCTGCCTGCTTTTCTGCCTCTGAGGGCCTGGAAGTGGGAGTCAGGGGAGCCCTCAGAGCTCCAAACATTGCTTTACAAGCCACTCCTCAAGAGCCAAAGAGTTGGAGAGAAGCTTTGCCAAGTGCTCTGTAAAAACACTGTTTATTCAAATGACAGGCAGGAAGCAGCGGCGACAGCAGTTGGGTGAGGGTGGCCAGGCAGGGGCTGGGCAGGTTAGCACTGCGACCCTATGTCCCCTGCAATCCTGCTTTGATAGCCACCCAAGCTGTTGGCATCAGGGTCGGAAATACTTCCCCATCCTCTCCTTCCTGCCCCAAACTGAATAAATAGCATCTGTCTCCCCACAAGAGCTGGGGGAGACTCATGTGCTGAGCTTGGTGCCCGGTCACAGCTCAGAGTCAGGTGAGGGCAGAAGCTCAAAATGGCTTGTAGGGAGTAGAATACAAAACTGTTCCACTCTCATTATCATCTTCCTCTTCTTCCTCCCTGCCACACTCTTCTCCCAGCCTGGTCCCAGGACAGGTGGTTGGTAAGTGCCTGGAGTGGGAGAACTGTCGACTAGTGTACACTGAGCTCAAGTTCACGTGGCCTTCCAGCCTGTCATAGATGCAGGCTAACCACCAAAAAGAACGTCAATTTGTGCCACTTTATGGACAGAAAAAGAGGGGCAAGGAGTGAGGCAGGCCTCTTCCAGCCTCAGAGGTAACCAGAGTCCTAGGAGCAGGTCCCCTACCGATCCATCTCATCCAAGAGCGGGGTGGCATCGCCAGCAATGGACATAGGGGTGCTTTCGATCATAGGGCTGGGGGAGGGCCGAGGTGTAAGCCGCTGCTTCTGTTTCCGCCGTTCTGCCTCCTTCTCCTGCAGCCACTGCTCTGCCATCTTCCCCCAGTCGATGGCTGCGTGACTGTTGGACCTGGGAGGGAGAAGGGGCCTTTGAGATCGGGACTCTCCAGGGGCTCACTAGAGCCTTCCCACCAATCACTGGTGAACATCTATCCTTGCAGAAATGGCCCTTATACCTAAAAGTGGCAGCCATGGCCACCTACCACCCTGTTCTCTTCTCCCAGAAAGCAGTCCCGTGGGGACATCACCTGGGTCATGGCTCTCAGAAGATCCAGATCACCTGCCTATGTTAAGCCCCTTGGCCTCTTGACAGCCCCCTGCCCCTACTAATAGCTCCATGCCACCATCCATATACTTACTTTGGCTGCTGCTGCCGTTGCCGAGAGCTGGAGGAGGGCTGGGGCTGGGCCTGGGCGGACTGTGGGGTGGTACTGGCCTGTAGCTGGTGGTACTGTGGTGTGGTGATGGGCTGGCTCGGGGTCGTGTAGGAGTAGCTGGGGGTCATTAGTGGTGTGGCCACTGGCTGCTGTGCTGGCGTTGGGAACACCTGGAGAAGGGTGAACAGTTAAATGGGGAGGGGTTTGGGGCCTATTTGGCCTACCTATGAATTACTGGCAAGCTAAAAATTTAGGCTCAGCATAGAGCTTTCCAGCCAACCCTCTCCTGAGAAGCGTATGATTCTGAACAGCAGAGGTAGGCCAATGGGATGGGATCAGGTACAATGAGGGGGCCTACTAGTCCTGACCACTTGAGGTTTCCAGTAGCTTAAGGGTTCCAAAGATCCCAAAGGACTGTGGAAAGGTCAGGCCTTATCTTATTCCCTTTCCTCTCAAATGGGCCTGAGAAAAGCAGCATCTGTTGGAGACAATTCCTAAGGCTCATCTATGCATGTAAAGGTGTGGGCACTGCCAGAGGCCAGTATTTGGATATGAGTTGGTAAAGGATGACGGTTCCCTTTTATTCTTCCCCACCCTCCACGAGAGCTTCCCCTCCAAGGCACATACGTGGTAAGCGCTGCTGCCCCCTCCACTGCCACCATAGCCGTACTGGCTGGAGGCCCACTGGGCTGGGGTGGCATTAGGATTCTGTCCTTGGCCTGTCACAGCAGCAATGGCACTGAACATCTGCGAAGTCATGTTCTGAGGGAGGGCATTCACGGCCCGTGTCAGATCTGTAAACACACGTAGGTGGGGGATGGGCACGTTAGAGGTTAAAGTTGTCCCAGCTTTATCCCTCGGACCCCCGGTCCCAGGCATGAGCTCCTTACCTGCAAGGTTGATGTTAGCTGGGGTAGCATTGATCGAAGCAGGTGTCCGGGTCCTGCTACTGCTACTGGGGGTGATGCCTATAGGAAACAGCCTGAGTCAGTTATGTTTCTGTTTTCATAATTTAGGGAGCTGAGGAAGTACTGAGAAAAAAAGGAAGCTACGTAGGCAAAGTGGTTGGAGGACCTTCCTGATGCTGGGAGGTTGGAGCAGGAGTTACGAGAGCTGCAACGACAGCCTGCGCCTCACGCCCCCCCACAGGCTAGTGATACCTTGATTCAGAGCCTAGGTGTCCCTCCAGCCATCCCCCAGGAGTCAGGGGAGTCAGAGTGAGAAGGACTCACCTGGTACAGGATCCTGGTAATGATCCTTAAACCATCTGAAAAGTCCATTCACAGTTGGGAAGATTTGGCCCCTGTACCGGAATCCTTCTGGAGTCACCGTTACATATTCTATCCTGGGATGTTGGAAAGAAACATGCATCAGACACCACTTGGGGCCAGCTGTGAGAGAGTGGCCAGAACAGATCTCCACCATGTGCAGTTGCCACACTGGGTGCTGGGGGAAAGGAGAGATCAAAGAGCCAGTCCCTGACCCTGTAAAAGGAGGCTGCTCTCTGGGGAGGCGAGGACTGCAGAGCAGAGTATAGTCAAAGCCAGGCGTCAGCAGCCCCTGGTGTGCTATGTACAGGCTGCCAGAGGAAGGCTTGCTGGGGGTTGGGCTGCCATCCTGGGCTGCAGTATGATGGCAGCACCCTGCAGGTGAGGGTGAGACTGAGGTCACAGAGTGTCAGGGTTGGAAGGGGTCCCCCAGGGCAGTTAAACACCACTCCCCATGAGTCAGAATCTGGAAGCGCCTCTGAAGGTGGCTAGTCTGCCACTGCAGAGCACAGTGTGGATGGGAGGTTCGGCTCTGGGTTCAGCCCCAGTTCTAGTTCCAGTTTTGGCTCTGCTACTCATCACCTGTATGACTGTCCAAAGTGACTACACCTGAATCTCTCAGCTTCATTTGTAAAATGAGGATAACAGTATTTATACCTATAGGGTGGGCGGGAAGAATAAATGATTCCGTGCATGTAAAGCACTTATCCCACAACACCTAAAATAGAGTTGTGTTTAGTAAATGACAGCTGTCAACAGACAATGCTAAGTGTGGCAAAGTTCTCCTTTATTTCAAGCTGAAACCTGCTTCCTAAATCTACTCAAGTGTTGTTCCTTCTGCAACACTAGGAGTCTGTGCCCCTTTCCACGGGAA